CATCTCTATAAAATAAAAATAAAAAATTAGCCAAGCACAGTGATTCATACTTGTAGTGCCAGCTATGCAAGAGATTGAGGTTGGAGGATTGCTTGAGCCTGAAAGATCAAGGCTGCAGTGCGTCTTGATCCCGCCACTGTACTCCAACCTAGGTGAAAGAGCGAGACCCTTCAAAAAAACAAATAGAGACAGAGAATAACAATGAGGCACAGAAACATTGCAGAGTGACTAGTGGAGGAGTTGTAATTTTTAATAGGATGGCCAAAGGAGGCCTTATTGAGCAGGTGGCTTTTAGGTGAAGACTTAAAAAAGGTGTTAGAGTCTTCTATACGTCTAGTGAGAAAACAGAATACAGGCAGAAGAAAAAGGACAGCCAAGTGCCTGAAGCAGAGAGGCCAAAGGAGTGAGGTCTAGGACCTGACTGGACAGATATCCGGGAGGTAACTGGACTCTAATTTAGAAAACTGTTATAAGCAATTTGTATCTCTTTCTCTAAATGAGATTGAGAGTTACTGCAGGAGTTGCATAAAGGAATGACAAAATCTGGCTTTTGTTTTAAAAGGGGTATCCAGGTTTGTTATTGATGGAAGACTAAAGACATTCTCCATCCAGAAAAGACTGCTAAGAACTGTGAAGCATATAAAAGTTAACCCTACTTGGGGCAAAGTTTCATGAATGCTGGCAGATGACATAAGCTTCTTAGGTCAAAGACAGGGTTTTATGACTCACTCAACAGGGAGAATGATTTTTGTGTTTGTGTCAGTCATCCTTGCTCCACAAGTCCTACAGAGGAAATACAGAAAGGCAGTTTAATGTTGGAAATGCAACAGATGTGTATTGCGGCCAAGCAACCCTGAATTTAGGGAAGCTGGATGTTTTATAATGAACTGCAAGCAAACCTGTCTGAACTTTGCTCCAGAGGGAGACATTATCTTTCTTATCCTCATCAGTAAGCAGACCTGCCCTCTGCTTCAGAAGAAAGCAATATATCTAGCTTCCAAGATGTCGTCTTTACAAACATCCTTGAAAAGATGGTCAGGAGCGAAGGCTATCGATGTCTCTGCTCATAAGACATACAGAAATGTGAGAGGTCATGAAGAATTTTCTCCCAACCAGAATTAGCAGGATGTCGTAATGAATTGGATGTACAGTGGGAGCGGAAAAGATACTTAAGAATAACTCCAAGAATTTTTATTTGAACAGGGAAAAAATGGAGTTGCCATCAACTAAGTTGAGAAAGACTATAGGTGAAGTAGGCTGGGTGGAGAGGGTGGATAAGGAGTTCGATCTGCGACATAATGAGTCTGAGATGGCTATTGGATGGAATCCAAGAAATGTCAAACAGGCTATTAGATACATATGTCTTGAGTTTGGAAAAAAGTTTGAGTAATAATTTAAATGTATTAGTCATTGGCAGGTACATTTATTTTAAAGCCATGGGACCAGATGGGATCACCAGGAACTTTGAAGTGATCCAAAATTAAGAAATTGGGGAGAAAATAAGGGTCCACCGAGGAGACTGAGAAGAAGCAACCTTTAGTAAAGTTAAAGGAAAACCAAGAGAGTGTGTTGTCTTGGAAACCAAGTGAAAGAAGTTCATTAAAGGATGATCTATTAAGATGAGAAGCAGTAATTGACCATTGGATTTAATAACATAGAGATCACTGATGGCATTAAAAAGTGTTTCAGTAGAATGGTAGCAGCAAAAACCCAATTACATAAGATTAGGAGGGGAATTAGAGATAGCATATATAGATAATCCTTTCAATAAAGTTTGCCACAAAGTGTTAAAACAAACTAATTATGGCCTGAGAAGGACTCTGTACTTCTACATTTGAGTCCTGTGGGTGAACTGTTAGCTACTTTAATAGTCAGACAAAATTGAAAACATTATTTAGTAGTGTACACCTGTAACAATACTTGAGTGTTGGCCAATCCCAGCAGCCAGCCATACTTCAATCACTCATAGACTGCTGAATGTTCAAACTGTGTTCAAATAAGGCAAACCCCCAGTTGTAACCAATCTCACCATTTCTGTACCTCATTTCTGGTTCTTGTACTTCACTTTACCTTTTATTGTCTATAAATTCGTTTTGACCACGAGGCACCCCTGGAGCCTCTGTGAATCTGTTGTGATTCTGAAGGCTACCGGATTCACAGATTGTTTATTGTTTAAACTCTTTTAAATTTAATTCAGCTGAAGTTTTTATTTTATCAGATGGTGTCAGAAGCAGGATCTGAAGTGGAGCTTCTAGTATCCCCAGGAGCACTAAGTGAACATAGAAGGTACCTGCAGGATCCAATTGCATCCACTGATCTCTCAGAGAGGCTGAGGATAATACGTAAACTCCCTCTCGCAGTTTGGAGGTTCACACATTTGTGTTTTGAGCTCTTTGAGTTGCTTGGAGCAAATTTCTGATCCAAACTGGGTTTGGAGTTATAACAGGAAATAGACTGGGTCTAGGAACAGATTTGATCTTGGAATTGATTGACTTAGATCCAGTTAGAGGCCTCTTACATCTCACTGGGTCAGAAAGGAACTGGTAGTAAGCAGTAACGTTGCAGGAGTTATAAAATTTGGCTTTTGAAAATTCACAGGGATATTTGTGTTCTACCCCTTTGTTTCTTTCCTTCTTTCTTTCTTTTTTTTTTTTTTTTTTTTTTGTGTGTGTGTGTGTGCGCCTTGGTAGGAAAAAATTCATTGGCTTATCAAGAGAACCAAAGAGTAAAGCCAATATTTTAGGTAAAAATTGGATCCTTAATTTCTGGAAAACTGAGTTCCTTCTGGCTTATACATTAGGACTGGGAGGCAGCTAAGTCTTACAGAAATGGCAAAATGTTACTAAAGATAACTTACAGTAGAACATTCCGAATGAACGACAATGCCAATGCATTTAAACAAATGCCAAGTACATTTAAAAATGAGAGCTCTCAGAAAAGTCCCTTTTGACTAAAAACAGTTTTGGCACTATGGGATGTCAACTGCTATTCTCTTTGGAATAATCTGCCTTGCACTCTTTGTTGACCGCCGTGGGTGACAGGATGAGGCACGTACAGAATCGTGGGACCTGGGGAGCTTTTTCCTTCTCCCCACAAAGAAAGAAACTTGATAGCTGATGGGACTGTGGGGAAAAAAGACAAAAATATATAGCATTTATTCTGTTTCCATAATTCTCATCTTTAACTATGGTTCAAGTGCCTTCCATGTTTTTTTCAATCTAGCCTAAAAATAAAAACATGTCAATGGTACAAAATAAAATTCTTAAATAAGAAATAAATCACACATACTTTCACCACCCAAAAACAATTTTCATGTTTATTTATTCCCTTCAAGTCCTTGTCCACATGCAAACATAATATGAGTACATGTGTAAAAGTTAATATGTTTTGATTTTTTTACCCATTATTCATTATAATTGCTTTTTTATAGTCTTCACAGTGACCACTGACTGTGTGCTACTAATATTTACTAATTGTCATTCACAAATTTATAATTTCTCTTTAGTGGACATTAAACTTATTTTCCATATATTATGAAAAATTATTTTAGTTAAGGAATGAAATTCTGATACATAATACAACATAGGTGAACCTTGAAAACATTATGCTAAGTGAAATAAGCCAGACCCAGATGGACCATATCATAGGATATATAGGAGCCAGGGACTAGGGAGACAGGGAATGAGTAATTGTGGTTTCATGGGTATAGTTGCCATTTAGGATGACAAAAACGTTCCGGAAATGGATAAGCATTATGAATGTACATAATGCTGCTGCATTCTATGCTTAAAAATGGTTAAATGGTTAAGTTCTGTGTTATGTATACTTTACAACAATTTTTTAAAGAAGGTGGGGAGGGGTCTCTCCAGGTTTTTAGCAGCTTCCTGATTTAGAAAAGAAATGTTAATGGTAGGAATACAGGTAGAGAACACTTTTATTTGGGTAGATGTTAGAAGCTGAGGCCAGGGTGGGGTCATAAGAGCAATATTAAGTATGAAGTGGAGGAGGCCCTCAACTAAGGTCATTGCAAAGGGACGGAGTAGGGAATGGATCGGAGAGGTATTTTGGACAAAGATGTGGCAGCTGATAGGTGTGGGAATTGTTCTCATGTATCAGCCCAGGCTATAGTGTTTCCGGGGCAAACGGAACACAAGTTTTTTTGCGGGGAGTGATATAGCATGGTAGATCTTGAATTAAAACTTTAAAATCTTGACCAAAAGCTCAAAGGAGAAGACAATAGTGAAACACACAGGTATGGGCAATTTTAGTTAAATCAGGTGAGAAACAGAGCAAAGAAATCACTTGGAGATGGAAAAAAACACCAGTGTTTTTTGACAGCTACAATAACAGCAGAGTCAGACAGGGGATAGGCTTATGCCAGAGATCCAGTTTTATTTACTAAAAGTTCCTTGAGTATTCAAACATTCCAAAATTCTGAGATCTTGCACAAGGATGCCTTTGTTTAAACATTGCTTCATCTAACTACAGAACATAGTTTAACTTTGAGGCCTTTGACCCCAGACAAGACAAAATATGTTCCACCTTGCCTATTACTTAACACACATTTGTTAACTGTTTAACCTTCATGGCTAAAAAATTTCAAACATCTGTATTAACTAATTTGCAAATGATTGTTTCAAATATCTGATCCATGGGTTTCTTCTCTTACATTAATTAAGCTTGTCATAAGTTCTTTACATTTTTAATTATTGTTATATTATTTGATATAATTGCTGAATCTCTATATGACATGTTGATTAATATAAAGTCAATTAAAAAAACCAACACGTTAAACATTGTTCTTACTTTATTCCAGGTATAATGCTATGCATTTTATATGTATTGCATTGTGTAATCTAGTTCCTCTGGAAAACATGCATTCTCATTTCCAGTTCCAAAGTGGTGAGAAAGCACATTGAGGTTCTGATTGGTTAAGCAACTTAACAAAGAAGTTGGAGACAGAACTAAAATTTGAAAGCAGCCTAAGCTTTGAACCTATCAGTTGTGATGATAACCTTCTCCAAGTTATTGTTAAATTATTGGCACATTTCTGAGAATTGTGAATGACCTTTCAACAAAAGTTTACAGATATGTGTCAAAATTTTTCTATCTTTTTAAAATTTTTGTAATGAAACTGGGACAAGTTCCAAAATGGCCATAGGTCTGAAATATTTGGCCCTGAGAAACTAAAGAAAATCTGTGCCAACTCCTGCTCTAAGTTTTTTAGTCATACTTGGTCTTAGAGGGCTGATATTTTCTATTCCGGATGAAAGAAGAATTCTCAGGCATCTGATGACCAAAATATGGGGAAAAAGTTGTGATGGTGGTGGTGGAGTGTCTGCTACAGGCATTTGGGAAACTCACAGAACTCTTAATATTCACTTTTAATTCATTCCACCAGGGAGGAAGGGCCTGGGTTTCAGAGCCATTCATATATGGTTTCAAAATCTGACTTTGGCATTTATCTCTGTAAGAACTTGAGAAATTTACTTAGTCTCTCTGAGCTTTGGTGTTTTCAGAATGAAGATGATACTAACAGTACCTACATCATGAGTGTTACTTGAATGGAGATGTATAAAGTGCATTTTAAATTCATTTGGTTCCTTAACATGTTCCGTTCACTTCTTATCTTTTCAGAGTTTCTTCTTGAAGGTCTCGAGGTCTGAAGCATCCCACAGAATGATCCTACTGAATAACTCCCATAAGCTGCTGGCCCTATACAAATCCTTGGCCAGGAACATCCCTGAGTCCCTGAAGGTGAGGGAACTGTGGGAGGTCAGGGTATGGGAGTAGGGGTGCTGAGGATGAGAAAATAACAAGCTTGTGATTCTGGTCCTCCTTGACTTTTTGCAAAGGGTTCAAGCTGGGAAACAGGATGGGGTTGGGGGCACAAGAGGCATATCAAGAGCTGCTGCTTCTCTTCGGGAAGAGACAGCTAGGCCCACTCAGCAGGTTTTGTCACTCATTTGGAGAGGCGGTGGAGAATGGTTGCTACGAACATGGTTTGGAGCCAGTCCGAATGGATGTGCATTCCAAGGCTGCCATTTTCTAGTCGTATGGCTTTGTGGATGTTTCCCTTTCTCTGACTTTATGTTTGGTCTTTTCTTCAATGAAATAGGAATACGATTAGCACCTACCTCTTAAAGTTGCTGTGGGCACTGAATAAATCTGTACAATATAAGTGCTAAGAGCATTGCCAAGTGCCCAGCTAGTGCACAGTAGCTCTTTGGTATCACAAGGACACCTACCTATGAGTTCTGCCTGCTTGCTGTTGTCTTCACAGCCATCATATGGTCCTGGAGACGCTGCTCATCTCACCATCACTGATGTGGTCCCAGTACCTTCTCTTAACCTCCATTTTTCTCTTCCTCTTCACATCCAGATCCCCATCTCTGGGGATCTCCACCTCTTCTAGTCCCTTTCATCCCTCCTTCAGGTGTACGGCTCTGTGTATCACATCAATCACGGGAACCCCTTCAACATGGAGGTGTTGGTGGACTCCTGGCCCGAATATCAGATGGTTATTATCCGGCCTCAAAAACAGGTAGGCACACAGACAGGGACTGGTGGCTCCAGGCAGATCCAAAGGGCCTGAGGAACTGACCGGTTCAGACACCAGGGCTGCTTTTATAGGGTGAAAGGAGAAGTGAGTATTTTAAAACACTCCTTCAGTACCTTGCATGAGTGCCACGTCTTCCCACCCTTTCTGTAAAGCCTAGGACTCTTCTGGGAAAGGCGGTGGAGGGTGGAGGTGAGGAAAAGGAGAAGGCTGACACTCACAGATTAAGGGCCCTTTGAGGTGGCAGGGGTCATCTGGAGGGGCTGAAAAGAGTCCAATTTACAGGGAAAGTTGGGTGTCTGAGATATCAGAACAGTGACTTAGAAACAATAACCAAAGCAGAAGTCTACCAGTAAAATTACCTCTCAGGGCCAGGCATGGTGTCTCTACCTGTGATCCCAGCACTTTGGGAGGCCAAGGCAAGGGTATCACTTAAGCCCAGGAGTTTGAGACCAGCCTGTGCAGCATAGTGAGACCTCATCTCTACAGAAAATAAACAAAATTAGCAGGGCATGGTGGTGCATGTTTATACTTCTAGCTACTCAGGAGGCTGAGGTGGGAGGATGGCTTGAGCCCCAGAAGGTGGAGGCTGCAGTGAGCCAAGATCACACCACTGTACTGAAGCCTGGGCAATAGAGTGAGACCCTGTTGTTTTTGTTTGGTTTTGTTTTGTTTTTAAAAAGTTACTTCTTAGGAGCCAGGGAAGGGGCTCATAATTACTGTGTGTCAACTATGTGAATGCACATCTTTTGTTAGTGAATGTTATCATCAGAACAATCTTATGAAGTGAGCATTAATATCTCCAATTTAGACATAAGGAAACGACACTGAGAAATATTAAGTCATGCAACTGCTGGATTCCTGATGTTAAGGCATTGCCCAATCTGAATTCAAGTTCAGTGGACTCTGCCACTTTTACTCACTATATAACCATAGGCCCTTCTCTGAGTTTCATTATCTGTTAAAATGGAGAAAATAAGAGGACCTTCTTCAGAGGATTACACAAGGTTTAAATGAGATACTGTATGTCAAACACTTAGTACATGGCACATAAATGTAAATAGTGTTTACCATAATTAACTGTTATTGGCTGAGGACACGCAAGGATTAAATGATTGAGCTGAAATAATAATACAAACCTAGGTGTATTTTTTTCCTAAATACTTCCCCTTTGTGTATGTGTGTTTCATACACATCTGGTTAGTGAACTGAAGCCTCATTGCCAGCCCAGCTTCATGTGGGCATAAACCCTGGGCCCCCAAATAATAATAAGCCACACCAGGGCAAGACTAGTTTGCAAACTGGGTCAGGACTGGGATGCAGAAAGTGACAAAGTGACCCTAGCTTGAGGAACAAAGGGGTAAAGGGGATGGGAACCAGGCTGAGCCTAACACCTTCCTTAGGGATGTTCTTTTGATCTCCTGGCTTCCTGACAATTTGGGATCAAAGATTAATGTTTAGTTTATTTAATCCATGGTCCAATGTCTTCAAAGTGTGATATGCTAAATAACCTAAATAATTGTAGGAAGTCAAATAGTTCTTTTTACTTCAGTAACTTTGTGGTTATTGTATGTATTTTAGCAATGCAACAATAGCATCAAATCATAACTTCACATATGCATTGCTTTGAATAAAGATAGATTTATAAAATGAGTCAATGAATGAAAATATGAAAATATAAAAGTTCCACACCACACATATATGACCAAAAAAAAAAAAAAAAGGAAAGAATGAAATATGCTGCAATTTACTTGCAAACACATTCACCTAGTGTGATTCCATGGCATACCATGTTTCTTTCAGTATTGAAAGTCAATCTGATTTTGAATAATAGCTTTTCAGGGTGGGATGTAGGAGAATTTATCTAGAAAAAAAATAATTTTTTCATTGCCAGTTTTTAATCACAAATAAAATGTATGCTGATTATACAAGTAGAAAAATCCCACATGATTTAAAAAAGTTAATAACCTCTCACCTCCCCTTCCGTCCTCTCCTCCTTTCCTACCCCTTGGTGTAATCAGTGTCCTTGCCCATATTAATACACAGAGGGCTATTCACTCATGATCTCTTTTGTCATCACTTTTTAATTTGTCTTTAACATATGGACATCACTTTGGGTGAATTAATACAGCACTAACGTATTCGTTTTAACGACTGTGGCATTTCATACAGTCAATGCAATGGTATTTAGTCAATCATTCTCATGCTATTGGGTTCAAATTGTTCATACTTCTTTGCCACTACAAACAAGCTTTAATAAACATCTTCATATACATATCTTTATATCTTGGAAATTTTTCTCAATACAATAGATTTCCAAAAGGGATATCTCCAAGTTAGAGTTTATCTTATTCTAAGCAGGCAATGCCAGATTACCTTCCCAAAGGATTCCACAATTTTATTTTTATTAGCAATATGTAGAAGAATTGTTTCCTCACATTGTTGCCAGCACTGAATGTTATCCCTCTTTTTATGTATCCCAAACTGGTGGGTGAAAAATGGCATCCTATTGTAGATTTAATTTGCATTTCCCTAACTAGTGATATTGGACAAATTATATTTTCATGTTTGTCAGTCATTTGGTATTTACTCTTGACCTGTTTATATTCTTTGACCATTTTTACATGGGGGTTTTGTGTCATTCTTAAAATTTTGTAAGTGTTTTAGATACTAGGGATACTAAAAAAAGGTGTATGCTACAAATTTGTTGCCCAATTTAGAACTGACTATAAGAAATTTTTTATTTTTGGCCGGGCGTGGTGGCTCATGTCTGTAATCCCAGCACTTTGGGAGGCCAAGGCAGGTGGATCACAAGGTCGGGAGATCGAGCCCATCCTGGCTAACACGGTGAAACCCCGTCTCTACTAAAAATACAAAAAATTAGCTGAGCGTGATGGCGGGCACCTGTAGTCCCAGCTACTCGGGAGGCTGAGGCAGGAGAATGGTGAGAACCCAGGAGATGGAGCTTGCAGTGAGCTGAGATCATGCCACTGCACTCCAGTCTGGGAGACACAGCAAGACTCCCTCTCAAAAAAAAAAAAAGACAAAAAAATTTTTTTTATTTTCATGTAATCAAATATATTATCTTTTTCAGCATGACTTTTTCAGCATGATTTGGGTTTTTTAAGTTAATAATTAGGAAGATTTTTCCTACTCCAAGATTATGCAAATATTTTCTTATTTTGTCTTGCAGTGAGTTAATTTTTACTTTTGACATTGCAAACTTCATTCTATTTGGAATATATTTTTGAATAGCATGAATTAACATTCTTTTATATTAATCTTCCTTCTGGCTGGCTGATTATGTTAGTACTATTCATTAAATAAGTCATTCCCTACTGAAACATGAATGTCTGTTTTGTTGTATAACATGTTATATATTTTTGTATCTGTTTCTGTATTTTTTCTAGTCTTTCTCTTGCTATTTCATTGTTTTTTGGATAAATTTTAATATCTAATAAAGCAAATCACCCTTCACCAATCTTTTTTTGCTTTCCTATTTCTTATAAACTTAATAGCTATATGAACATAAACTAATTTTTCCAGTTCCCCACCAACTACCCCAAATAACTATTGCAATTGTGATTGGTATTGGAGGAGCATTTTTCGACAATTTTGGAAGGATTAATAATTTCGTGATACTAAATTTTTTCATCAGGAAATATGGTCTTTTGTCACTTTTTTCAGTTTGCGTTCTATGCCATCTGGTAAAATGTTAGTGTTTTCCAGTGGAAAACTAAGTGATTTTTCCACTAAGTTTACCCTTAGGTATTTTATACTATCTGTTAAGATTATTAAATTATTTTTCCTGTTATATTTCTGAGCATTATTGTTTTGTTGTTTCTTTGTTTTTGTATTCTTGATTTCCAAATATGTCACACTATTCTTTAAAACCCTGTTTGTATGGGGCATTATTTGTTTTGTTTTTTGTCGAAGTCTCTAGGATTTTCTAAATGTGTAATACTCTGATCTACAAACAAAGTAATTTGCTGCTGCTTTGCCAATATTTGTATGAGTTTTTAGTTTCTTGCCTTATTGCATAATATACAACCTAAGAAAACAATTCCAACTGACAATGATAGTATTTCTATACTTGTCTCATTCCTGATTTTAACAAAATAGCTATAAAAGCTTACATTTGGAATTACATTTGATTCTGTATTTACATATTTAGAGCATTTTTCTGTTGTTCCTACTTTCATAGAACTTATATTTAGAGTGGAGGGTAAATTTTATGTTATTTAATTTTTGTCTTTTCTATTTGGCAATATATACACTCATGTCATTTTTTCTCCTTTAATTTATTACACTAAAAGATCTTCCAATTAAAGCCATTCTGGCCTTTCTAAAACCAACTGCTCATGTTCACATTCTTTTGTATATGCTATTGAATATTTTATTCATAATTTTTGTATCTGCATACCTAAGGGAAAATGGTCATAACTCTCTTTTTGTTATTTCCTTACCAGATTTGGCATTAGGATCTTTTCATCTGTTACCAAAGTCTACTATTAAAATCATGTGTTTGTTTTTGACTTATGTAGAACTTAAATGTAAAATAATCTGATTTTGGCCATTTTATTTTTTAATTTCAACATTATTTTTAGATACAGGGGATACATGTGCATATTTGTTACATGGGAATAATGCATGATGCTGAGTCTTGGAGTACTGACAGATCCCTTCACCCTGGTATTGAGCATAGTACCCAATAGGCAGTTTTCTAACTCAGCCCCTTTTCCTCCATCCTCTAGTAGTCCACAGTGCTATTGTTCCTACATTTATGTCCATGTGTGGTCAATGCTTAGCTCCCAGTTATGAGTGAGAGCATGCGATATTTGATTTTCTGTTACAGCAATCATATGCTTAGGATTATTGCACTGTGGAAAGCAGTCTGGAAATTTCTTAGAGAACTTAAAACAGAGTTGCCATTTGACCCAGCAATGCCTTTACTGGGTAAATACCCAAAAGAAAATGAATCATCCTACCAACATGACACACGCACTAGTATGTTCATTGCTACGCTGTTCACAATAGCAAAGACATGGAATCAACCCAGGTGCCCATCAAAGGTAGATTGGATAAAAAAAACTTGGTCCATATATTTTTATGGAATACTACACAGCAATAGAAAAGAATAAATTCATGTCCTTTGTAGCAACATGGATGGCACTGGAGGCTGTAACTCTTGTCTACTTTTTAAAACGTAGATGTTTAATTTAATTTTTGATATTTTCTATTAGTTTGTTGAGGATTTCTATTTTTTTGAAAGTCAATTTTGATAGCTTATTTTTGAGGGATAACATCCATTTCTTTTATCAGTAAATATGTTGCCCTGGGGTAGTATGTAATCTTCTATTAGAAGTCTTTTGTTCTTTTCTCTGTTTCTTCTGTTTCTGTTCTCATAGCTTATAGTCTATTTTTTCTTTTTTCTATTTATCTTGTATTTCTTTTAATAAATGTCTTACCGGAAGTTTCTCTCTCCCTTTCTTCTTTCTTTTTGCCATTTAAAAATGAGCTTTTGACATATATATCCTTTGCACTATGTCTTGTTCTCCATTTCATTATTTATACCTTTCATTTTTATAAATTCTTCCGTTTGTTATTTTCTAATTTACTTGGATGTTCTTTTATATAATTCCTTGAATATTTACTTAGCTGTTTTTGGTCATTCTTTGAAAATCAGGTCTTTTAAAACATCTACTCTGTTAAATTCACTGAAGTATTGGTTTTGGCCATATTCAGGAACTTGCATTTATAAAAGCACCCTCAGATTCCTGACGGTTTCTTTAAATTAGTTACACTATTTTCTCTTTTACTCTTTAACAATACAATTTCCAACATAATGTTAATACATTCACTGCTAAAACTCTCACACTTATTGTTTATATTTTCCCTGAGAAACAGATCCTCGTCTTCAAATGAAGTTTGTGGCTAGCCAGAGTGGGACCACGAGTCTCTTTCTTTCAAACCCATGAGTCTAACACCACATAAATTATGCAGAGAGCGACCAAAAATTCAGTTACTTCATTCTATTTTGTGGACTTCTTGGTGTAAAGCCAGTGTCACTCTTTGAATAGGCTGATATCCTGTAGCCTTGGGAAAAGGCAATGTTCCATTAATGTTTATATTCACTAAAGTATCTTGCTCAAGCCCTGGACACTGTAGGTTCTAGGACACTATAGATTCTAGGTGTCTAGTGAAACAGTAGACACTAAAACTTAGAGAAATCACAGTTAAATTTATTTAGAGTCAAGTTTAAGGACTTAATTCTAACAACACAGACTCAGTACAACCCAGAACGTGTCCCACAGGAGGTTATGTGGGGGCACAGTATATATAACAGGAGTATCCGTTTGGCACAGGTGGTAAGAGAAGCAATTGATGCATTTTTTTATTCTGTTGGGTGCTCGGTGATGCCATATATAAAATAAGGTAATGTGTAGTTGAGCAGGTAGGGAGAAAGGTGAGGCATCTTAAGGCCTGCTGGAGAGTGATTTTGTCTTGTCTTTGTTCTGTATGTGATAAGGAGGTTTATCACCAATACTTGTCAGTGTTAAATATTTCCAGGTACACAGGTAAGAGGTCAGTAGTAGCTTATAGGCCTAGGTTTTATTATCCGTGTGCCCAACAGCAGCCATCATGGGCCACTGTTAAAATTTTCTTTTGAATTTTCATTTTTCTGATAATTGCAATCAGTGAGAGGTGAAGAAGAAGTTCAAGGGAATGACCTGAACTTACACCGTCTTATACAGGAGATGACTGACGATATGGACTCATACACAAATGTGTATCATATGTTCTCCAAAGAGCCTCAAAAATCACAAGAAGTTTTGAAAAATTGTGAGATCATCAACTGGAAACAGAGATTCCAAATCCAAGGTAATGGGTCTGAAGAAATGGGCAACCAGCAGTGCTTCTCAAATTGAGTTTTCAACTAACAGCATTAGCATCACCTGAGAGCTCATTAGAAATGTAAATTCATAGAAACTCTGGGAGCTGGGAGAGGTAGAGCAATCTGTGGTGTGACAAGGACTCCATCTGATTGTGGTGTAAACTCAGGTCTGAGAACTACTAAGCACTGAGCTATTACTCAGGTGGGAGCAGTGTAAGTAGAGAACTCCATGTCTGACAAGATTGCTTTCTTGCCTTTCTTCCCAGGTCTTCAGGAAAGTTTAGGTGAGGGGATAAGAGCAGCTGCATTTTCAAAGTCAGTGAAGGTAGAGCATTCGACAGCAGTCCTCTTGGTTACGGAAGATATTCTGAAGCTCAATGCCTCCAATGAAAGCAAGTTTGGAAGCTGGGCTGAGACAGGCCACCCAGATGACGACTTTGAAAGGTACAAAAACGTGTGCTAATCATTTATAATTGCTAGTCCTTGTACATTTTTGTAATTCACATACTTCAGTTTTGGAAAGAAGAGAGGATGAATTCATTCCTTCGGATGAATAAAGGTTGTCAAAGGTCAAAATATGCAACTTTGCAATGGTGTGTCTTTAAACAAGAAGAGGGCCTGGCATCTCTAGATTGGGATGACACCCAGAAATTACAGGAGTGAGGATGAAAGTTGTCATCTTTCTGTTTTCTACAGTGAAACTCCCAACTTTAAGTATGCCCAGCTGGCTGTCTCTTATTCTGGGCTGGTAAATGACAACTGGAAGCGAGGGAAGAATGAGAGGAGCCTGCGTTTCATCAAGCGCTGCATAGGAGCCCTGCCAGCAGCCTGTATGCTCGGCCCAGAGGGAGTCCCAGTCTCATGGGTCACCATGGACCCTTCTTGTGAAGTAGGAATGGCCTACAGCATGGAAAAATACCGAAGGACAGGCAACATGGCACGAGTGATGGTGCGATACATGAAATATCTGCGTCAGGAGAATATTCCATTTTACCTCTCTGTGCGGGAAGAAAATGAATACTCCCGCAGATTTGTGAGGCAGTTAGGTTTCTTTGAGGCCTCCTGTGAGTGGCACCAATGGATTTGCTATCCACAGAATCTAGTTCCATTTTAGACAATGAGGCTGCTTAGCAATCTCTGGCAAGCCGTCTCTTAATATTAAAGCAGACACCACAGAATAGCTTTCTTTACTTACAAACGCACATTGTGCGTTTCTGATACGGCAGGAACTCTTCTCACATGGAGCCTTGATATTAAAAGACACAGCCGTGCTCTTGAGGAGCTCACAATCCAGGCTGGAGGCAGGGGAGGGTATAGTCTTTATGCTTAAGGGAATGTTGTAGGGATTATGCTTATGCTTATGTTGTAGGGAAGGACGGGGTTACCAGTAAACATGTAACTAGAAAGCCAGGCTCAGTTCTTACCTCTGGGAATCAGAACTCTTTATGAAACTTGGTTAATAGAATCTACTATCTGGAAGATATATGAAGGATTTTAATAAAATCATCAATAGAATATACCTAATCTATATGGATACTTTATTGGAATGAATAGCCCTGCTATGTATGGATTTATGAGGCAATGGTACACTGAAGAATGGAATCTGTCTCTTAGTTCAGTGAGTAGAAATGTATCAAAGGTGAAGCCTGAGAGGAACAGCTTTCCCAGGCTGTCTTTCATCATTGTTATGCAGAAAAGGAAACCAGAGAATCAAGTGATCTGGCCTTGGGGCCTCTGCTATGGAAAAGACATTTGTTGTGTCTCCTTTCTCCTACTCTTTCTCACATCCTCATCATGATTGAAGCGCGTGGCACAGGGCAAGGTGTTGCCTGTGAGTCTGGTTATAAGTTCATTCTTTGGTGTTTGCAGCACTGCTATCATAAGGGGTCAGGGGCATTCCGGGGAGAAGTGACCACTAAGGTGAGGATTGCAGAGTAAGTAGGAGTAAGCCAGACAAAAAAAGCAGAAAATGCAGATGACGGAAAGGACACGTGCCATGCGCTATCATAAGAACTTCCTAATTAAACACTGATATTACAATTCTGAATCCCTGATCTTAAAAAAAAAAAATTGCACTTCACAATCAAAACTTGGTCTCTTTTGGTTCCACTCTGCCACCCTGCCATTGGAACTTGGATTACTGTGAACACTGCAGCTATAGCAAAAAAAAAAAAAAAAAAAAAGGCATTTTCATTCTTTCTGATAGTCTAAATTTAAAACAGAAAAGATATGTTAATAGAATTGGCTTTGGGAGTAAAGTCTGCCAGTATTAACAAACACCTATTCTCATCCCTCCATAAAAAAGAAAACCTCCACAAAATTGAATGTTTATATTTTATGTGATTTTAAAGTGCACAGTTCCAGCAATTAAAGAATTGTGTAGGTCATGGAGCTTTTTTTAAAAACTTCATCTTAGAAGGCTGTGGTACATATGTTACAGGTTAGTGTGAATCAATCCAGTCAGATTTCTAAACTCCTAAGACCAGGCTGATTTGTTACATTGACTGAAATGAAAGCATGGTCTGAGAAAGAGAGGAAATGCACCATTTGGGATTTCAAAGGGTGGAACATTCTTACATAAAAAATAAACTCGGGAACTTGGGGTAATATGAAAACAGCTATATTTTTCACTCAAGAAGCAAAAGCTAATACAGATGACGAAAGAAGACAAAGCAAATAAAATTTGCCTATTTCAAAATGGTGCCTTGGGCAGGTCCTGTATCTAGAAGAGGATGTTCATCCAGCAGGATCTGGGGCTCAGGTCATCTTAGCACAGCCCAGCTGGCAGCTTCCCTCCTCTGCCCCTTCCCTGAATGCAACCAGCTTCCCTTATCTAGCCCATCATGGCCCTGTTAAGATAGTGATTCCTAAACCTTATCATGCACTTGGATTAAAAAAACAACGAGAAAGCATGGGAAAGAAGAAGGAGGATTTCTTAAATATGGCACAAATAAGTCCAAAATTATCAGTAAACACTATACAAATGAATGGGGTAATTTTTTTATTAAAACATATGTTTTTCATATTGAATTAAAAATAAAGTCCAAGAAGCATGCATTAATCTGCTCTGGCTGCCATAACAAAATTTCATAGACTGAGTGGCTTACACAACAGAAATTGATTTCTCACTCTTTTGGAAACTGGGAAGGGATATGACAAGGTTCTGGTGAGGTAGGTTTCATTCTCAGTCCTCTTCTCCCAGCTTGTTGATGGCTGCTATCTCTTTGTGCCCTCACATGGTGTAGAGCAGGGCTCAGACTCTCTTCCTTTCCTTAGAAGAACTTAATTTCATCATTGGGGCTCCACCCTCATGACATCATCTAAACTCAATTACTTCTGAAAGGCCCATCTCCAAATACTTTGGGAGTTGGAACTTCAATGTATGAATTTGGGGCTCACTGTCAGTACATAAGAAAGCACATCTGAAATAAAAACACAAGAGTTAAAAGAAAGGAAAAAGATGTACTAAATGAATTTGAAACTGAAAAAGCAAACTAATAACATCAATACTAGGCAAAATATAACTTAAGATGAAAATCTGCTAAATACAGAATTCTCCCACAAGATAGGTCATGAATCTTTCTCACACACAACTACAAAATATATATAGCAAAAGCAGACAGACATACAAAAAAAAAAAATAGGCAAATCCACAGTCTCAGTAGGAGAACTCAAAATACTTCCCTCAGAAAGCAACAGATGATGCAGATAACAAAGACAATTTGACAAAATGCCATTACGACTTCATATTTTGGTGATACTGGGCTTATCTACTTATTGTGTATTTGAGAACTTCTGTTCATCTGTTTGCCAAACTGACCAGCAGGGGGTGCTGGGGAGGGAAAAAACTCCAACCGGTGAGTGCAGGCAACTTGTCTCAAAGTCTAGAGGCTCCTGGTCCCCCACGATCATCATCTGTCAGGGGCAAGCACTGCTGATACAGGAGCTAAAAACATAAATTATTTAGCAGTTAGTGTGGGTAAGGGAGTCCTCGGTAAGGTTTTCCTTTTAATATAAAAGCAGCCCCCATCTAATTTTCTTTTTTTTTTTTCCTAACAATCAGCCTGAAAAATCAAGCTGCATGCATAGATAAGCAAGCTGAAAGCTTGCACAGGGCACAGTTGAATGCCAGCACCTATGCCAATAGAAAAGGGATACTTGGAAGCCAGGCATATTGAACATTGAGGTTTCCTCTTCCTTTTGTTTTTTTTTTTTTTTTTTTTTGAGACGGAGTCTCGCTCTGTCGCCCAGGCTGGAGTGCAGTGGCGCGATCTCGGCTCACTGCAAGCTCCGCCTCCCGGGTTCACGCCATTCTCCTGCCTCAGTCTGCCGAGTAGCTGGGACTACAGGCGCCCGCCACCACGCCCGGCTAATTTTTTGTATTTTTAGTAGACACGGGGTTTCACCGTGTTAGCCAGGATGGTCTCGATCTCCTGACCTTGTGATCCGCCCGTCTCGGCCTCCCAAAGTGCTGGGATTACAGGCTTGAGCCACCGCGCCCAGCCTTCCTTTTGTTTTTTGAGACGGTGTCTTGCTCTGTTGCCCATGCTGGAGTGGAGTGGCGTGATGTCGGCTCACTGCAACCTCCGCCTCCCTGGTTCAAGCAACTCTCTGCCTCAGCCTCCTGAGTAACTGGGATTTCAGGCGCCCACCAACAGGCCCGGTTAATTTTTTTTCTTTTTTGTATCTTTTTTAGTGGAGATGAAGTTTCACCATCTTGGCCAAGCTGGTCTTGAACTCCTGACCTCGTGATCCACCCTTATCGCCCTCCGAAAGTGCTGTCATTACAGGAGTGAGCTACCATGCCTTGCCTCCTCTTCCCTTTTCTTTGTCTTCAAGTGTTCAGGCGACATGGCACTGGCCAGGTAGAGACCTCATCTGCATAATAAAAGATTAGGATGGGATGACCAGCCTCTTCATGCATCACATAAATGGCACACCTGGTCCAACCAATCCTCTGAGTCCTATGTAAATCAGACACTGCCTCATCAAGCTCATCTATAAAGCCTACCATAACTCACCCAAAACTTAGAAACCCGCTCAGGCACCCTTCCAATGCACAGGGAACTCTCTCTTCTTTCTTTTGCCTATTAACCTTCCACTCTTAAACCCACTCCTTTTGTGTCTACATCTTCAATTTCCTTATTGTAAGACAAAAAACCTCTGGCATTTACCCAAATGATTCTGCGTCACTGCCATCTCTAGCACAAGTGCCGAAAATGACCACTTTAGTCTGATGCGTGCCACGCGGCTACCATGCTGCTTAGGACAAGCAAAGATAAGATGGAGTCGGGAATGGTTTATCAGAGAAGCCGCAATAAAAGCATGTCCCAGGCAACTTTCCACTTCTTAACTTCTGTCATTTTCAAACTTAAAGGTGTTTATTTTTGTGTTTGTTGTTGTTCTTTTTGTTGTTTTTAACAGTTTCTATCAAAGACTTCTCATGGTTTTCCTGCTATGACATATTTATCATTTCTTCTAAAGTCCTTTCCAACATTTCCTACAGGAACTTAGAAGACATGTGTTTGGTTCACACCTTGATCCCCTCTCCACTTAAAATTCTTTTTACTTTCTCCCAGGAAGATTCCACCCCTCCTATTCTGCCAGTCCCCTCATATTTGCCTCAAACGGTTGCCCTTGTAGGCAGATGAATCTGGGCCGGTTCTACTTTACTATGGACACCAGCTCCTCTGAAATAACATCTGAGTCTTGGGATGTGCATATGAATCTTCCCTTGACGCAGCAAACAGTCTTTCCTTTTACCTTCACTAGAGGCATCCACTCGGGAGAATGGACAGCACTAAAATTCTACAGATTTCAAAACCAAGTGTGCTGTGCCTTTCTAGAGATCTTGGAATGAAGATGAGAAAGTCGGTTAGAAGGGATAATTTCCTACTTCCTGCGTCAATGTGAAGGACCTCCTATTTTTAAAGGGAAAAATTGGGGACGGTCCAAAAGAAACTCTTGCAAATCAAGCCTTGCCATGCCACCACGAGAAGGGTAACCTGTGTGCCCAGGGGTGAAATTTTTAAATTTTTGTAATGGTGTTCAGGGTCACCCCTATGGATCACAAAAATATTTGAAAACCTATATCTGTGCCAACCTTTCAGAACCGTGTCTCTTCGCAAGGACCTACCAGGGCCTAGAGATCATAGCACCACACTGGCAGCCTACAGGCAATCTCCAAAGGCTCCCGTCTGCCCCAGCAACACACACACACACACACACACGCGCACACACACACACCCTCCTGCTATTCTTTGGCCCTAGATATCATCTAATGTATTCTACATCTTAATCTCCCTGTGCCTTCAAACTCTTGTGTTGTAGAGTCTTGATAATCGCTTTTTAAGGATATTCCCTGACTTCATAAAAGCTACTTATGAGACATATATCTAAGGTAAAACTTTTCATTTCAGCCCAGATCAGAACTCTTTTTATTAGAATTACAAACACTGAACTTCTTAGTTGCTGGGAAAATATATTGAAAAGGAGTTATTATGCTTGTATAGCAATAAATTATCTCTGGAAAAGTACTGAGTGTCCAGAGAATGAGTGAAAATTGTTTCCCCTATATATATACATTTTTTTTTCTTTTGAAAAGTATATCCTGTGTAAACCACTGCTCAGTGAAATAAAAGAGGACACAAACAAATGGAAGAACATACCATGCTCATGGATGGAAGAATCCAATATCGTGAAAATGGCCATACTGCCCAAGGTAATTTATAGATTCAATGCATCCCCATCAAGCTACCAATGAGCTTCTTCACAGAAATTGGAAAAACTAGCACAAGTTCATATGGAACAAAAGAGCCATCTCAAGACAATCCTAAGCAAAAGAACAAAGCTGGAGGCATCAAACTACCTGACTTCAAACTATACTACAAGGCTACAGTAACCAAAACGGCATGGTACTGGTACCAAAACAGAGATATAGACCAATGGAACAGAACAGAACAGAGTCCTCAGAAATAATACCACACATCACAGCCATCTGATCTTTGACAAACTGCTGGAGAAACAAGAAATGGGGAGAAAAGGATTCCCTATTTAATAAATGGGTGCTGGACAGAGAATTGGCTAGCCATAAGTAGAAAGCCTTCAAGCTGGATCCTTTCCTTACTCCTTATCCCGAAAATTAATTCAAGATGGTTTAGAGACTTAAATATTAGACCTAATGCAAAAATCCTGAAGGAAACCTGGTAGTACCATTCAGGACATAGAAGCATAGGCAAAGGCACCATCATCTAAAACACCAAAAGCAATGGCAGCAAAAACCAAAATTGACAAATGGGATCTAATTAAACTAAAGAGCTTCTGCACAATAAAAGAAACTACCATCAGAGTGAACAGGCAACCTACAGAATGGGGAACATTTTTGCAATCTATCATCTGACAAAGGGCTAATATCCAGAACCTACAAAGAACTCAAGCAAATTTACAAAGAAAAAAACAAATAATACATCAAAGAGTGGGCAAAGGATATGAACAGACATTTCTCAAAAGAAGACAGTCATACAGCCAGCAGACACGCCAGAAAAAATGCTCATCATCACTGGCCATCAGAGAAATGCAAATCAAAACCACAATGAGATGCCATCTCACCAGTTAGAGAATGGCGATCATTAAAGTCAGAAACAGGTGCTGGGAGAGGATGTGGAGAAATAGGAGCACTTGCACTGTTGGTGGGATTGTAAACTAGTTCAACCATTATGGAAAACAGTATGGCGATTCCTCAGGATCTAGAACTAGATGCCATATGACAGCCATCCATTACTAGGTATATACCCAAAAGGATTATAAATTATGCTGCTATAAAGACACGTACTGCGTGTGTTTATTGCAGCACACTATTCTAATAGCAAAGACTTGGAATCAACGCAAATGTCCATCAGTGACAGATTGGATTAAGAAAATGTGGCACATATACACCATGGAATACTATGCAGCCATAAAGGATGAGTTTGTGTCCTTTGTAGGGACATGGATGCAGCTGAAACTCATCATTCTCAGCAAACTATCACGAGACAGAGGCAAACCGCATGTTCTCACTCCTCTCTGGCGGGACCACAGACAATACAAGAACAGAAAACCAAACACCGCATGTTCTCACTCATAGGCGGGACCTGAACAATGAGATCACCTGGACTCGGGAAGGGGAACATCACACACCGGGGCCTATCATGGGGAGGGGGGAGGGGGGAGGGATTGCATTGGGAGTTATACCTGATGTAAATGACGAGTTGATGGGTGCAGCACACCAACATGGCACAAGTATACATATGTAGCAAACCTGCACGTTGTGCACATGTACCCTACAACTTGAAGTTTCATAATAATAAATTTAAAAAAAAAAAAAAAAGAAAAGTATATCCTGTGTATATTGAAAAGATAATGTTTTATAACCGGGGAAATTGCCTCCACTGTGGACTCTTATTAATTCACTTATCCACCAAGTTCTCTTATTTACTGACTTATCCATTGTATTCCCTTATTTACTTTTTATTCAATCACTAGTATTTGTTTCTATTGCTCATAATTGAACACAAATTTCTTTACTACTACATAAAATAAAGCACCAGCGTTTTCTCCTGTACCTCAGTAAGATGACGTCTTCCAATAGATTCATTTCGCTGTTTTGTTCCCTCCTCCCAACCACACACTTAGTGTGCTAAATGAGACAAATGCTTTTATTTCTCTACCCCTCATCCCCCTGAGCCCAATCCCTGGATGTTTTAGTTCCAGATGTCATAAAATTTTCCTTGTAGTGTGTCACTTCTATTTAAAGAATTCTTCTTTAAAACTTTTATTACACATTCCTGGAGAGTCTATCATTGTCCATTCAGAGTTAACTCTCTACATAAAATTTGTCCGATTTTTTTGGCTCACCATTGTTTCTTCTCCTTTTTATTTGCTCCTCTCTGAGATCTCTGTTCCTATTTGATTAGTTAAAATTCTTTCTCCAATATTTTCTGCATGTAATTATGCTACTAATATAATAGCTGAAGACTCTCAAATACACAAATACCTTTCTTTGACCCTCACAAGAATATAACTTCTGAAGTTTTATAAATCCACAAATATTTTTCTTTTACCTTCAGGGAACTGATGGATGCCCTATGACCCCACATTTTAGGGTCACCAAATTTAAGTTTTTCCTCTTAACACATAAAGAAACTGAGGTGCAGAGAAAGAAGGGAAACTTGAACCTTCATTCAAGGTCACAAAGTTAGTAAGAAGTGGATGACTAGTAATGAGGGTTTCAGGTTGAGATTAACAACAAACATCACAGAAAATAATAGTGTTTAACCCAACTTCAAGTTCATAAAATGAATGGACATTTCCTGATCCCTCCACTCCCATCCCCACCTCAGGGGATTTCAGGACGTACTGGGCAAAGCTCTCTCCCTCCATCCCCAACCGTTTCTCAGTCAGTGAGGGATGTTAAGAACTCTTCACTGCCCCTCTTGAAGCTTACATTCTGGAGCAGGGAGACAGAAACTAAACAAAAAATTGAAAAAAAAAAAAAAACAGTAAACGTATTTGCTACATACTGAGATGTAGTATACGAAAAACAACACATGATACAGGAACAGAAGATGATGGAGGAAGAAAGAACAAACAGGAAAAGAGACTTCAGATAGGAGCAGATAAAAGGGAGAGGAAACAGGAAGGGGTCAGAACAGGCCTCCCTAAAAGCATGGCATTTGACAGAGCGCTGGAGAACAAAGGAAGAGAGCCAAGCACATACCAGGTCGTAGAGTTCCGGTCTGAGGAAGCACTCCAGGAACTTCTCCGGTGCTGAGAAGCACACCCAAGATGATCCACTAGGGTGAACAAAGAACATACTTGAACCACTATTTAGATTCATCTTCATCTAAAAAATAAGAAATTAAGTGTGTCTGATATTTAATTATTTAATATGTTATTTACAATACTATATATCTCTCTCTATATATGTATCTATAGAGATATGTATATAGTTGATGCTCAAATCGTTAAAACTTAGGTATGTAAAATTAAAGCTCATAGATTACTCTTGCCTATAGCAGTGAGCTCCTGATAGGCAACGGTAGATTTCACGCAGCCTCGGTAAAACAGAAGTCCTTAGGCTTTGGCGTCTGACAGAAGTTAAAATTATTCAAGGGCTGTCCTTGGACAACTTAGTTGAGGTTTCATAATCTGTGAAACAGAAAATGAATTAAATAAAAAGATAATTGAGAGAAACCTATAAAAGGTGCCAAAGCCCAATGGCTGGCATTAAGGGATGCTTCACACCTGTTATCTCTCACCCTATTGTCTCTTCACCCTTACTCCCGCCTGGCAGCTCCCCGCTGTTAGCGCCAGAAACACTTATCTGGTAAGAAAACGAAAAGTGCAATGCTGGCTTTACCCCGAGACGCTTTTAAAAACTCCAAAAACCCAGCGTGATGGGGGGTAGGTTTGCCTAGAGACAGGTGAGGCAGCCTTAGTAAACTGAGAGGAACGTTAATTGTCAAAGAGCGTTGAGCCACTACGAGCAGCAGCAACCTTGGACTAACAGGTGTATCTTAGCGAGCACATGCTCCAGCACATGTCCCTACGCCCGTCCCTCCATTTAGCGCCATAAATGCAGCCTCCTAAGAGAATGGGAAGCTTGGGAGTCTGAGAACTGAAGCTACCATTGGCCTTAATGGATGTCAACCATTAAGGTGAGCGTGAGAGTCGGAGAACGGAAGCTACCATTGGTTTTAATGAACGTCAATCTTCACTCGCCGCTTTTCTTGCTCGCCTCCTTGCCCCTTCCTATTCTGGTAGGCTGGTTCTCTCTCGCCATCTGCTGGCCGGACTCGGGAATATACCAAACGCATAAAAGCGCCTTCGCCTGCCCTGAGTACCTGCAAACCTAGGGCTGGGCACGGTTTTTAAGGGCTTGGCTCGCGTGCCCGGGGCGGTGCTAAAAGGGGGCTGCCTGCGCCAATCTCATTTCCACAAGATGCAAGTACAGAAGCAGCGCGGACGCCTGGAAGGGGTCACAGAGAGGCAGGCAGGGCGGTTGACCAGCCTACTGGCCTCATTTCTGAGAAATGCAAATTACCCAGCCACAGTCCAACCAACGGTATCAAAACAGAATCTCTACAGATGGAGCTCAGCAAAGCTGAATCTCAACCCCACCCTGGAGAACTTAAATATATTGGGGGTACCCAGAATCCCCATTTTAAAAAACCTATCCAAGTGATACGTTTGAATGTTAAAGTACAGAGAATCACAAACTGGCAGAACTCTTTAGCTTACAAGTAGGGAATGAAGACAACCCCCCAAGAGGAAAAGGAATTCACCCAACGTCTCCCTGCAACATCCTAAGAAAACGTGAGACTCTAAGGTTAAAATCCTAACTGACAGCCATTCTCTCCCCCAACTAGTCTTCTGACCTCTAGCAAACTATCCTGTCCTAATCTGTGAAATAGGAGCAACAGTCACACCTACCCCAGCGGGTGGCTGCGAATATCAAACGGATCAAAATGAGTCAACTACCAAGCACCGCCTGACTGGAAGTAGAGGTTGAACTGAATCTTGATCGCCCTACCCCATTCATCTCTCAGTATCACTGTATGTGGATGGAAGTGAAGCCACCCAGCCACACATTGGCCCCAAACCATGTCCACCTGCGCCCACAGCTCAGTGAATATTTCTTTTCTTGAAGACAGAGAGAGGCTCCTTGGAGCCTCTGGAGTCTGAAGGTGGATGTTTCCTTCCTCATGAGTGCGTTGTCCTCCTAAGATAGGATGGGCAACAGGGTCTATATGGAAAGTATTGGCTGCCAGGGCTTCAAGGCTCGCTCCCAAGCGGTTGCTGGAGGGTTAGAGACCCCACTCCAGCTCTCTGTAAAATCAGGCAGCTTGGTAGCAAGAGTGAGTGAGGTGAGCCCACTATGAACCCATGGGAGGAGAGAAAAAGAGCATCCCATCTAAGCTTTTACATACCCCATTGCAGGCTCCAGAATTTGATGCCCAGTCCCTTATCTCTAACCCATCCCCAGAAGCCAATTCTCCTTAGCCCCTCCTGCCACTTCTGCCATTGTACATCCAGATGGTTCTCTTCTCTTCTATCAAACTCCTACTCATCTCTCATTCATCAAGTCCAAATACAAATCTTTCTCTGTGATATGCTCTCAAGTTAGAGGCCATGGTGCCTTCCTCTGTATTCCCAGAACATGTTGTTTGCAACTCTAAATACAGACATCAGCCTACCATTAGAGTTCAGGAGCATCTTTTAGGGGTTCATGGAGAAATCACTTTCCATAAATGCTGGCCTTATTCCCTAACTTCACCAGACCTGACCTTAGTGCTTGATCCATTCCCACCTCTCCTGACCATGTAAGAGACCTTTTCTTCTTTATGGGTTTGAGAAACACAAAATGTCCCAACCACCAGTTACTTGGCCAGAAGTATTCTTGTCACATTTATAATAACATCCAGCCAACAAGATGCTTTGTGCTAAGGGAATGTTCCTTTTCAGGGCAAACGCTCTGTCCCCAGGAATGTGAGACAACTTCCACAGCCCCATATAAGTACTAGCTGGAAGTGAGGCTTCCTTGGTGGCTCAACACATTCCCTGAGCATCCCTACTCTGTCACTCATGTCAAACTGCAGTGGGATTGCATCAAATCTCTCAGAGCACAGCTGCAAAGAGGAAAGCAAAGCTGGAGCTCTACTCTCTGAACCCATAGCTCTAGGCAGTTAGTTTCTCCATGAGGGTCTATTTTATACATAAGGAAGAAATGGAAGATTGCTACCAAAAATGACATCATGTTACTTATTCCAATCGTGTGGTTCAGTTGCTACTCCAGTGATGAGCGAATAAAGAGGAATTAGAAGCATGGCTATTCCTAGGCTCAAGGGGCAGGGAAGCTCTGGAATTGGGTTTGTGGCAGTGCTGCTTGGAGCGCCATTACAAAGGGACAAGAGTGGTTCACTGGGAGGTAAAATACAGGGCACTTAAGAGACAAGGGGTCTGGGAAACAAGGCAGACTTTTGTATTTATCATTTGCTGTAAATCTCTCCATGAACTTTCTTCTCCCTTTTAATTTTCTCTGTACTTTAATTACGTTTCTTGTTGGGGACAGGCCCCCAAATCTGACCATAAACTGGCCCCCAATCTGGCCATAAACAAAATCTCTGCAGCACTGTGACATGTTCGTGATGGCCATGACACCCATGCTGAAGGTTTAGGGTTTACTGGAATGAGGGCAAGGAACACCGGGTTCACCCAGGGCGGAAAACTGCTTAAAGGCATTCCTAAGCCACAAGCAAGAGCATAAGCCATCTGTGCCTTAAGGACATGTTCCTGCTGCAGATAACTAGCCAGAGCTCATCCCTTTGTTTTGGCCCATTCCTTTGTTTCCCATAAGGAATACTTTTAGTCAATCTATAATCTATAGAGACAACGCTTATCACTGGCTTGCTGTCATTAAATATGTGGGTAAATCTCTGTTCGAGGCTCTCAGCTCTGAAGGCTGTGGGACCCCTGATTTCCCACCCTACACGCTATATTTCTCTGTGTGTGTCTTTAATTCCTCTAGCGCTGCTGGGTTAGGGTCTCCACGTCCGAGCTGTTCTCGGCAATTTCTCAGGCCTGGCATGGTGGCTCACATCTGTAATCCCAGCACTTTGGGAGGCTGAGGCGGGCAGAGCACCTGAAGTCAGGATTTCGACCCTAGCCCCATCCCTACTAACAATACAAAAATTAGCCGGGCGTAGTGGCAGGCACCTGTAATACTAGCTGCTCAGGAGGTTGAGGCATGAGAATCGCTTGAACCCAGGAGGTGGAGGTTGCAGGGAACAGAGATAATCCTCCTGTGCTCCAGCCTGGGTAATAGAGCAAGACTCTGTCTCAAAAAAAAAAAAAAAAAAAAAAAAAAAAAAATTCTCAGTTAATGGCCAACATTGTTACCATCATAAGCCCCAGCTTCCCCATCTTTCTCCCTCCATGTGTCTTTTATTTTGATCTATTTTCTTCCCTCCCAGATTCAGCCTCTGGCCCCTTCTTAAGGCTCCCCAGCCATTCACCCTCATGTGTTGAATGTCCACTTCCCTCCTTATTTTTTAGTTGGCGTGGATTAGCATCTCCAAATCAACATGTCAAAAGTAGTATTACTGATACACACACACACACACACACACACACACACACACCCCAATCCTGGCATACACAGCGTCTCCTTCCTCAGTCTTCCCCATATCAGTTAATGGAGATTTTATCTTTCTAGTTGCTCAAGTCAAAAGCCTAGGAATCATCACTGAGCCCTCTTTTCCTCTTATTTATAGAATATCCATAAGCAAATTCCATGTGCTGGCCTTTCAAAATATATGTGGAATCCAGCCATTTCTAACACCTCCACCAGTACCACCTGAAGCAGGGCTCTGAAATCTTTGCAATCCTGGGACAGACTCTTAGTCGCCTTCTCCCTTCCACATCTACTCTTGTCCTCCCAGAGTTTGTCCCCCGCACAGCTGCCAAAGTGATTTTTTAAAATATGTCAGGGTATAACTTATCCCTTGCTTCAAATCCTCCATTTAAAATAAACTTCACATTTAAACCAAAATCCAGACTTCTTCATATGGTCGACCAGGTGCTTTATGCTAATGGAATGTGCAGATGCTTCTCCCTTAGGAGCGCTATTTCCAGGGCAAATTATCTCCAGTGACGTCAGGCAATTTCGGCAACAGCATTCTCTACCACCTCTTGCTTTTCATAGCTTTTTTCCTCCAGATTCTGTAATGAAAAGAAAATCAAGTCTCTTTGTGCAATGATTTACTCTCTGATAGGTATTGGTGCCAGTCACGTGTACTGCTTTCAGATGATTCAAGAATAACAGCGATTTGAGAAACCTGTCGTTAAGTTTTCTCTTTTCTTTTTCTGTATAAAATTATTTTTACAATTATACTTCCAAAGTGTTCTCTTTCCAAACACCACAAGGCCCGTGTAATTTAAGCAGTGATTTTAGGGGTCTCTGGATATTTTACATTAAGTTCAGAAACACGCTCATGATTATTCCACCCAAACTATCAACTTTTACATAAACATCTGTCGTTCTATAAGTTATAAAATAATTGTCACCATCCCGCCTTAATCAACCATCTTCTCCCCTTCTTTGACCAACTTTTCAAACACCCACTACTGAAGGCATCTCCTATTCAGGTTCTTAGATAGTAAGACGTTCTGTTCTTCAACAGTAAGATGTTTTCTCAAGCTCCATGCAAAGCACTTCTTTGATCCTCACTTTGGGGATGCCCAACTCTGGCATCTTCATCTGAAGGATAAAGTTCCGCACTCAGCAAAGCGCGTCGTGGGAAGCCGCCTAAGCAGTGCTGGCCACTTTCTTGTCCAGGTTGGCGTTGTCTGTGTTCGCGAGGCCCTCCGCAGAGCTGGATCATTTGTGGAGCAGGCCGACTCCCTCTAGAGCTCACGCTGACGGAGGTGCAGCCTGCTCTGGGACTGGCAGTTGGGCTGGAGGCTGGGCTTCTGCGTCATCAGGGTGGAGCCGTCTCTGCTGCTGCCGCCGGATGCCGCCTGGATGCTCGTCCCGCCACCGCCGCTCACCCTACAGCGGCAGAATGGCAGCAAGTGCCACACACCAAAGCACCCGGGCGGGCTATTTGCCCTGCAGCTCCCGCCAGCGCGCTACTCCTGCGCAATCAAAAGGCGGGGAAAGCGCGAAACCGCCAGGCGCCTGCCACCCCCACAGCTGTGCGCAGTTCCTCCTTGGCCTCCACTCGGAGACAGGGGACGCTGACGACCCGAAAGCAGCAGGGCAGTGATTGCTTAGTTTATCCTGGGGCGCGGGAGCTGGCCATGGACTAAGTGGTGCGTGTGGGCGGGGAGGGGGGGCGGGGGAGAGGGGCTGGGGGGAGTGAGGGTGGGGTGGGGATCGCCGGGAATCGCTGGGACCCGGATGGACCATCCGGACAAATAGGGAGGGTGGGCGGGTGCGTGCGCAGACTCCTCCACACGGCCTTCCGACCCACCTAAGCAAGGCGCAGGTGTGCGCTCTTACCCCTTAGCATCCCTGCAATCACTGTCTCCAGAGATGTTAATTGGCTTCCAAAGTAGATGAGAGATGAGTCATTTTCATCAAATGAGAGAAAACAGCCTCCAGAGACTCTTTGTCTATTGGCCAGCGAGAAGGTCAATTCCCAGGATCCTCCCGCTCAGGGACTTGATCTTCCAGGCGAGAAAAGTTCAGCTGAGAGCGACAAGAGAGCAGTCTTCGCAGCACCTGTGAATCCAGAGGGGCGGGCACCGGCACGTGCACTGTGTGGACAGACTCTCTGGTTCTGTGAGTGTTTTTTCTGGTCCTAGGTTGGACCTGGAGTTCTTAGGGGGATGACTGGCAAAGCCAGTATGCAGAAGGACCTCAGCCCAAAGTCAAGGAGGTTTTGGATGGAGAGCTGGGTCCCGCGCCCGTTGTGGTAATTCCCTTCCCGCCCCTCGGCGTCAAAGGCCAAGAATTTTACTCCTGAAAAGATACTTGCAGATTGTCTGGGTGTTCCTGAATCTCAAGAGAGTCGCTGGACACTGGTGGGTCCTTTCCCTGCCCGGTGCCTTCACACACTTAGCATGAGACCACGTTCAATTAAGCAGAACAGAAACTGTATCACTGATCAAGGAATGGAGAAGGGAAGTTCCTGCTCAAGATGTGTGGGGTGTAGTGAGGTGGTGCTTTTTTAAGGTCTTTTAGGGCTTGCAGGTGGAGACTGAGGGCAAGGGTTCCTGGAAAGACGTGGGGCTTTCCAGGAAGGGTTGACTGTGGCAGTCTCATACTTTCTGTTGCCCCTCAGCATTACATGTGCCTAGCAAGGTTCCTTTTTCCCTGGGGGGCAGGGATTTAGGTATGGTAATTAGCAAGGATTCAGGTTAGGGTAGCACTGCTGAGCTCGTTTCCCATCTTGTAGCACGGTGGTTGCTGACATCCAGCTTTTGTTTCTGTAAGCAAGCAGAGCTGCAAACACAGGTTGCCTTCGTAGGTTCTGGGGCATTAGGAAAGAATTTAGGTCATGCTGGGGTGACATAGACAGTTGTTTTAACAACGTGGTGCGCATTTGAGGTGGGGGTTGTAGGGCGAGGTAGATAAAAGTGCAGATTCCACAGCCACACCCCGACATACTGAATCAGAGTCTGTGAGGGTGGGATCTGGAGTCCTTTTTAAAAAGCTCAGAGGAACCAATTCACAGGAACAATGAAAGTTTGATCTGAGCCAAACTCCTTAATTTAGAAATGAGGAAACAGGGATCCTTAAAAGGGATACAGGGAGAGGGTTGGAGGATAGTTACAGTATAATAGTTTTAGGGTGGTTGTTTCCTGGCCTTGGGAAGTTTTCCCAGCCACTGCTCTGATCAGTACACAGTTGAATACTTTAGGGGAACCTTCCCCACGTATCCTGAGTTCTCTCTCTCTGCAGGTCTCCCGCCAGGTCTGTTGCCTGTGATCTCTGGTCACCTTGGTCTTTCAGCTTTGTCTCCTTAAATCTTGAAATCCAACCAGCTTTGCCTTGCTGCCCTTCCTTGAGACACTGGCCTGGAATCCTTCAAGGTATCTGCTTATTCTTAAGCTTTCTTCTAGTCCAATGTTATTTTACACGGAAACAATTTTATACTTTCAAAGCTTGCATTTATTTGTTAGGTGGGACCAGAATTAGGGCTAATTTTGTCCCACTATGGAAGCTATAATTTCTGAGTACTCTCCCTGACACTTCATGAATTATGAAGTTTTCTAGTCGGATTTTGGGAACTGAAACTATTCCTAGTCCTGTATGAGCCTCAGAAATTGTTACATCTGCTCATTTTGGGTAGTTGTTTTCCTGTTCCTTTTCAACAGGGTAAAACAGGAGGATTTTATTAAGTGCATTCAGACCCAGAAGATTAACAGCCAAACACTGGTCCCAGAACAAAGACAGCACCTGACTTTTATACACAGTTCTGAGATGGGCTACCTTGAAACAAGCTTACAGCAGTGTGAAGCGTAGTGGCATGAAAGCAAGGATACAGAGGCAGAAGAAAGGCAGTCAATCAAATTGTGACAGGTGCATAACTCAGGATGACATGTGACTCTTGTTATGCAGCCCAGATGGCTGTTATCTAGGCTTACTCTAGTGCCTTACAAGGGCTTATCTCATAACCTTCGCTATGGCGCCTAAATAGCTGTAGTCCAGGCCTGCTCAAGCATCTCATGACCTTTCCTGTGCTGCTTAGATAAAAACAGAATACTTGAAGTTACTAGTTACAGAAAACAGAAATCTATAAACTCCTAAGTTTATCTAAGGATATCAGGAATATTGGATTAGGGGCCTATACTACTACTAACTTTAAGAATATCAATAAGAACTGTATGTCCAAATAAGGTCACATTTTGAGGTACTAGGGTTTAGGACTGTAACATGAATCATGAGGGGACACAGTTCAGCCCATAACAATCTTATGTGGCAAAACTGGCAGTACAGATCAGTGGAGAAAAAATGAACAATTCAGTCAGTATCCCTGGAGCAGTTCGTTATCCATATGCAAAAAATAAAAAGTGATACCTACTTCAAGCTATATACAAAAAGTTATTCCAGATTATGAACTTGAATGGTAAGAGCAAACCTTTACAATTTTTAGAAAAAAATATATATCCTATGAAAGATGTTCTAATGACATAAAAAGGTTAATAAACTTGACAACATGAAAATTAACATCTCCTGTATGACAACAGAGAATGAAAAAATCAAGAAGAAACTTAGAATACATGTTTAATACATGTGATGAATAAGGAATTTATGTCTACAATATTAAAATACTTGTAGAATCAATACTAAAAAGAATAACAGTTCAGTAGAAAAATGAACAAAACACTTTGGGTGGCAGAGGCTGGCGAATCAGGAGGTCAGAAGTTCCAGACCAGCCTGTCCAATATGATGAAACCCTGTCTCTACTAAAAAAAAAAAATGCAAAAATTAGCCAGGTGTGGTGGTGTGTGCCTGTAGTCTTAGCTACTCAGGAGGCTGAGGTAGGAAAATTGCTTGAACCTGGGAGATCAAGGTTGCCGTGAGCCGACATCACGCCACTGTATTGTGGGTGACATAGGAGACTCCGTCACCAAAAAAAAAAAAAAAAAAAAAAAAAGAGCAAAAGACATAAACAACGATTTTAGAGTCTGAAGCATAAAAAAGTGTTCAATTCCATGAGTAATTAGGAAACTACTGTTGAAACCCTCTATAAGATGCCCTTTGTCACCCACACGATTGACAAATATTAAAATATGGATAATACCCAGCTTTGATGAAGACGTAGTATAATGAGAACTCTCATTTCTCACTGGTGGAAGTGCAAGGTGGTACAACAATTTTTTAAAATAATATGGCAGTAACTATTATAATATATTCATAGCAAAACTGTCCAGTTTTTAGTATAAAAACCCTGGAATGTGCATAAGCATTTGATTTCTTCAGTGAATTCTCTCTAACTGTAAAAGTGGATGGAGAATTTCATCTACTAGAATGAACCTCAAAAAAGTAGTACAAATCACAGAACACATTCAGCTGGATGTGTTTATGTAAAATCAAAAGCAAAATGAAACAGTGTACTCTTTATACTTTTACTACATATGTATATGTCACTAAATAAGTGTAAGACACTAATAATTTTAAAACAAATTCAGACTTAGCGGTTGTCCATGAGAATGAGAAAGGGAGATAAGATGAAGGAGGAACACTCTGTATGCCTCTAATAATTTGTAGTGTGCAATTTCTTAAGTTGGGAAGGAGATACATGGATGTTTATTATATGAAATATAGGGTGCCACGAACTGCTTTTGCATGTAGAATATGTTTCATAGTTTTTTCAAAACAATATATAAGAGATAAAGAAGCTGAGGAGTATCCACAGGATACTAGCTTGGGTAATCAAATGACATCATTGTCAGATTCAGGAACACAGGAAGAGGGGCACGATTAAATTTTATGACTCTGGTTTTAAAGGTGTTAAGAGTGAAATGCCTCTGACGTATCCAAGAGTAGATGTCAAAGACACAACAAAATATTAATATCTGGAGCTTAGATGAGAGTTCAGTGCTGTGGAGATAGATTTGGGCAATAAATATTTGAAAACATGAACTGATGGGAGAGCACCAAGATAAAAAGGAATTCACTATTCCTAAAACCTCAGCTCATTCAATTGCACCTACCTACTAAATGATCTAAGCCCAGCTGTGCCTCCTGATTTTACTCCCTCCAGGCTTACTCCTCTATTTATGTAGACTACATACAATACTTCAGGCTTCACAATAATTTCCTTCTAAGTTATGTTCATGTATTATTTTTCTGATTCTTTTTAGTCATCTATCTGTGTTCTCTTGTAGCTCACTGACCTTTTAAAGACGATTATTTTAAATTCATTGACAGGTTATAAACCTTATTTCTTTAGGGTGAGCTATTGGTTAAGATTTTTTTCCCTTTGGTAGTATCATTTTTCCCTGATTGTTCTTGATCTTGATTTTTAGGCAGTGCCTTCATGTCTGCACATTTGGAAAACAAACTTATTCTAGTCCTTGCATACTGGCTTTTTCTGCAAAAACCCTTTCCCAGTCATCCAGCAACTTTTGGTAGGGTGTCTATTATGGTCTGTAGGTAAACTTTTTGTGGAAGTCCTCAGGCAGACTGGCCTGGGGCCTGTGTCAGCAGGTGGCCTGGTTCCTGGGTCTGTACAGTTGGGCCTGAAGCCTGGATCCACTGGAGTGGATCTTGTCATTGGATATGTGGGGATGAACACAAAGTTTACGTCTATAAAGGCTGCAAGGAGCCTGTACCAATAGGTGCTGGATTGAATCCTGGCTCCACAGGGGCTAACATGGCTCTCAGGTGGACATTGAGCCTGTGTCTACAGGGGCTGGCCAGGTTTTAGAATGAGCCTAGTGTCTGAGTCTGCTGGGAAGAGCCTGAAAACTGAGTCCATGGGGACTGTCCTGGTACTGGTGCTGGATTGTAGCCTGAATCTGGGAAATGGGCCTGGGATCTTGGTAGATGGAGGCTGACCCGGAGCCTGAGTCTTCAGAGATGGTCATAGAGTCTTGGTCCATGATGGCCAGCCTGGCATCATGGTCAAGTGAATTCGGCCTGTACCCTGGGTCTGCTAGAACACAGCTGAGCCCTGAGTTTATTGGATCCTGGGTCACAAAAATCAGCTTGCAACCTGAAGCTGGCTTAGGGCTGGGGTGGGATGGGTCCAGTTTAGAGCCTGAGACCATAGGTGCTAGACTGGTGCCTGTAGCCACAGGGGCTGGCCAAAACCTGTGGAATGGCCTGGAGGCTGAGTGTGTGAGATCTGGCCTAGAACTAAGGTCTTCAGAAGCTGGCATGGGCACTAGGGCCACAAAGCCTGGCCTGGACACTAGGGATGTAGGAACTAGACTGAAACCTAGGTCCACAGAGGCAGTCCTAGATACTGGGTCTGTAGGAACCATCCCAATACTGGAGTCAGCTGTGATGGACCTGGACCCTGGGTTTACTGGAGCATGAGACCATAGGAACTGGCCTGGAGAGTGCGGTGGCAAAAACAAGCATAGCCCTAGGCAGGCCTGGGGCCTGAGTCTGCAGATTCTTGCCAGATACCTGGCTAAGGACTAGGGCTATAGCTGCCATCCTGGAACTGGCTTGGGCCTGAATCCTGGATTGCTATGAGCCAGTATAGTCCTAGGGTGGACTTGGGGTCTGTGAACACAGGGGCTAACCTGGCACTAGGCAGTCCTAGAGCCTGTATTCACAGGGGCCAGCCTGGATGTTGAATATATGGACATTGGCCTGGTGACTAGAGTTACTGGGGCCAGCCTGGTCCTGGACTGGGCTGAAACCTGGAGTTGTGAAAGCCGGCTTGGTCCTGGGAGTAGTCTGGAGCCTGGAGTCACTTGGCCTGGACTAATCCCAGAGACAGTCTGACACCTAAGGCACTGGGGTAGACCTGGCATTAGGATATACCCAGAAACCAAGTCCACCAGGCAAGCCTGGAGCCTGGGCTGTGGGATCTGGTCTGGCTCAGTCTGCAGGTACCAGCCTGGAGATTGAGGCCACAGGAACATACCTACTACTGGATTTCACTGAATCAGGCTCTGTGTTGGGGTCCAAGGCAAAGCTCAGTGACCACTTCCCTTTTCTTCTTCCACACAAAGAGTGCCTCTCTCTGTGCTCTGCTGCCTGGTGTTGTGGGAGGGGTGACACAGGTAATGTAAAATTGTTCTTCCTATGCTCTTCAATTCATCTTTTGTTATTTCTCTGTTACACACAGATTCTGTAATCCTTTACCTGGTTTCCTAAACTCTCATGAAGGTATTTTTGTGCATAGATAGTTGTTTAAATTGATGTTTCTGTGTGAGGATAAGTGATAGAAAATCCCATTCTGACATTTTGCTGATGTCCAGTTTTATGGCATCCAATCAGATTTCTATGTAATGATTTTCAAAGTGCCTCAGCTGCATCAGAGACGGTTTTTCTACTGATTTGGAAAGAAAGATGGCAGATCTGATATTAAATGATCTTATCAAACACACATAGATACCCACAATAA